ACCAAATTCAGTATTCAAAACAAGGAAACCGAAATATTGTCTCATCAAAACTGGAAATTGTTCTAAAACATGATAAACTAATCAAAATTTAAAACTATGAAGCTATCTTTGGCCACTTAAATACTTCTAGTGCACCTTCAAGTTCCATTTCCATGCTAGCCTCACTTGTTTGCAGTTCCTGCGCAACATTCATAATGTTAAGCACTGCAACTTGGTATCGCATACCTAAGTGAAAGTTAAAATGTTTATAACATAATACCTGAGGTTGATGCTCCATTCTTCTTGAGGAAGTCAAGGTATTTCTGGAAATTTCGCTTCCAATGCCCCTTCTTCTTGCAGTAAAAGCATTCACTTTCACTTACAGCCTTGGGCTTTGGAGTTGTCTTAGGCTTTTCAGGAGCCTTGGCAACTTGCTTGCCCTTGCTCTTGGCATTAGCCTTTTGTCCCTTCTTCTTGAACCTCTTTCCCTTTTGAATCATAAGAACTTCCTTCTTAGGTTCCTTAGGGATTTGTTTCTCAGCACTAACCAGCATTGCATGCAATTGATTCTTAGTCTTTGCAGTGGCAGTCATGTTAAAATTCATGATAAACTGGTTGAAACTTTCTGGTAGTGAATGGAGAATGATTTCTGTTGCCAAATCATCACTATATGGGTGCCCCTGTTTCTCCATACTTTGAATTAGGCCGATCATTTTGAAAACATGATCATGAACTGTGGCGCCCTTCTCCATCCTACAATCCAGAATCTCACGATGGAGCTCATACCTTTCAACTCTAGCTTGTTTCTTAAACAAAGCTTTGAGTTCTTGCATGATTGAGTAGGCATCCTGGTCCTCAAAACGCTTTTGAAGACTAGGCTCCATGGTAGCAATCATTAAGCAAGTGACAGGTATAGCTCTGTCATGAGCTTCCTTGTGCTTCTTGATCTCTGCCGCAGTTGGATTTTCTGGCAGAGGTCCTAGAAATGGGGTGTTAATGACATCCTCTCTACCTTCAGATTTTAGAACAAGCCTCAGTATTCTTTCCCAGTTGGAAAAGTTATCCCCTGTCAACCTATCCTTCTCAAGGAATGGTCGAAGATTGTAAACGTTGTTGTCATTGTGATTACGGCTACCCATCTATGTCAAAATAAGGCAAAGATTAATAATTATGTTTAATTAAAATTAAAGTACCATAAACGCATTCATTTGGTAACTTTAAAACACTTTATTCAATAATTAATTGATCCCAATTGAATTAAAGTGATTCCAAGATCCTTTATTCGTGCAATAATCGACCGAACTTTGGCCCTACCATCAATCATTACATTTTCAAGGTGATTAAACTCTTTACTGATTACAACTCTTGTAATTCTTGGTTGAATAATTAATCATCACATGCTTAATTATTTCCCTTTGCATCAAGGTACTAAATTCTTTAGGTAACCTTGTTGAGAATAACCAATTAAAATTGTAAAATTTGATTTACCTCCACTCCCCAAAGATATAATATGACACCCAGCTTTGGCATGACCCGTCATAAATATCAAAGGTTTTATCGGGTTTTTAATTGGAAAAACAATCTCAATATTATTGGGACCTAGATTTATTATGTTGTGATTATTTAGTGAACTCTAGCGCATCATCAATCAACATAAATAAAATCTAACATGCATAATATACTAATTCAATAAAATAAAACATGACATAGCATGACCCCTTAGTCCTAAGAAAACTAGAAATGAAAAAGCTCCTACTTGAATCATCATGGATCTCCATCCACCTTGCTCCTTCGGGCCTTCACTTCATGGGCTTCTTTGAACTAACACTATTTAAATAACTATTCTATTTACTTTAAATAAAAGTTACAAAAATACTTAATGGTACGCAGACCGTATTTAGATTACAAAAATACTTCACGATGCGTAGATTATATTTAAGAATCTATGGGCCATGCTAGTCTATATATAGCAACATAATATCATATATTATAAAAGTGCCATATAATAAATCACTCAACATGCTTGTCTAAACTACAACATCGAATATTCATAATAAAGTCAGCGCATTTCCTAATATATCTTATATTTTAATCATAATTAGATAATATCATATATTATTCATGACCGTTTATAAAATATCATATATTTAATTTAGTCATGAGATAGAATCAAATCATATTTTAATCTAGAAAGATAAATCATATTTAATCTTCCATGATTATCCTAACAAATTTAGGAGATTCTATCCTAATTACTAGCCAATCAAATAATTTTAAAATCAATTATATCCTAATCTAATTATGGGATAATCACATTATTTAAATCAATTATTATCCTTTTGGAATATGCTCAGAATATCCTAATCAATCTTATCCAAAATTAACCACTTTAATTAGGATAATTACCAATTTAACAACTTTAAATATGGATAATATCAAATATAACAACTTTTGAATATTTGATTTTATCCTAAAATAAAAGATTTTATCCAAATAAAACCGATTTTATCTTTTAAAATAAAAGATCATATTTTCAAAATATTTTTTCTTATCCAAAATAATCATATTTATCTTGAAATATTTTTAAAATAAGATAATTAAATTTTTTTTTTGAAAAACCGTGACTGCACGGTTGTTGGCCACCGTGTTTGGCTAGCTAGAGCTAGCCACGGTGGCTTGCTGCTTGCGGCAGTAGGACAAATAGTAGTGGCAGCCACGGCAGCAGCGTGCAACGCTTGCACAACTGCTGCTTCAGCCACCAGGACCGCCGCCCTCCCCTTCCCCTCCCTCTTGGATCGCCACCTGGTCGGCAGCCGCTGTGGCTGCGCCACCCAGCCTCGGTTGTCGACCTTAAATAATTTTTTTTTGTGTTTTAATTTAATTAAAATAACTTTTATTTTAATTAAATTAAATTAGTCCGTAAGATTAAAATTAAATCACATTCAATTTTAAAATTAGGGTTTTTCATAAAATTAATCCTAATTTAATTTTAACTTTTAAAATTAAATCGATGATCATACACAAAACACTTTTATGCATAAATCAATTCGATTAAAATTATGAATTATAAAATAAATCGAATTAAATCAAAATCAAGCACAAAAATCATATTTCAGGGCAGGATTTTCGAAAAATTCAAAAATTAGGGTTAGGGGTTCGAAAATTTCGAACATATTAGGGCTAAAATTCGGTCATCTTCATGGCTATTTGAGCATAATTAAATCACATTTAATCGATTCCTAAAGTTTAATCACATTAAAATAATAATTGAACCATAATTAAATTAATTTCTCCCTCTTAATTGATTATAAAATTAACATGGACATCAAATAATCGTAATTTTATGATCTAGCGCGTTCATGCAAGAGGCTAACTGATACCACTGTAGGAGTTTATAGGTACTACGCAGTGTAAAAACATGAATCATATTCAATCAAGTACCAATCCCAAGAATCACATGCATAACACACAAGACACATAATCATACCTTTGATGCGTGAATTCCACGAAGCTATTCGTCAGGCAAATCAGGGAGAGAATAGAGCCCCAAGCGTTGCTCTTCTACTTAGTCCACGAGATTCGAACGAGCCGTCCACCAATACTAGATTGGTCGAGTGATTGAGGAAAACCGCGATCACCACCTTTACGGACAACCGACCACTGCACGAACCACCACCATCACGAGACACCACCGGCGCCAAGGAGGAGGAGAGAGCCGTGAGAGAGAGGACTTTTAGAGGGGTTGGGTTTCGTGTTTACTAATTAGGGTTTGATCACACTGATCAGTTAATTTCTTACTTGCAAACCTAGGCACCTAGTCTATTTATAATCCTATTATAATTAGACTAGGGCACGAAGCCCAAAACCCCTTCTAATCCTCTACATGGCCGGCCACCTAGAGTGATGAGGCCCATGATGGGCCTCGTCCTCTAATGCTCGAACTAGCCCATTTGTTGACCTTATATGATCCGTCCAATTGGGCTTTGGGCTATTTTACTAGTCCAAAGATCGTTAGTACCTCTAGCTATGGCAAAAAGACGACCCAAATATACGAAATTAATTATCTCTATAATTTTATCCATTTATATATCTAGTAATTTCACACGAAGAAGACATAACTCCTTCACTATCCCTAACTAATCCATAGTCCAAGTACTTTTCTAGGTATGAACGCTGCTGACTTCATCACCTGTCCACTATTACCTAATTAATGTCATTCCCTGCCTTGGTCTTTGGCAAGGCTCCCACAAAATCCATAGAAATTGAATCCCACTTCCATTTAAGCACCTCCAAGGATTGGACCTTTCCTTGACACCTGCGATGCTCAATCTTCACTTTCTAACATGTCAAACACACAGCCACAAATTCAACCAATTTTATCTTCATATTGGGCCACCAAAAAGTCTTCTTCATGTCCTTATACAACCTATCCCCTCCAGGATGCATTGAATAAGGAGAATTATAGGCCTCTTCCATTAATCTCTACTTCAGGTCTTTACGACTCTGTGGTACACACCATCTTCCCTTAAAAAGAATACTCCCCTCATCACCAATAGTGAAATCCAACACTTTCCCTTCATCAATTTTCTTTTTGATTTCCTTTAACTTCTCATCCTCTAGTTGACTTTCCCTTATCTCATCATAAATGGATGGTTGAATCACCAAGTAATTCAACATCCTAGTCACTTCACCATGCTCCATCACTTCTAGGTTCAACATCTGAAATTCAACACACGACTTATCTGGCACTGCCATCACATTCATCGAATGTTCTGACTTCCTGCTCAAAGCATTTTCCACCACATTAGCCTTCCCTTCATAACTCTGAATATCCAATGTATTGTCACTCATATACTCCAACCATCTTTTTACCTCCCATTCAAATGCTTTTGGGTGAAAATGTACTTTAAACTCTTATGATCCGTGAAATCCTACAAGTCACCCCATACAAGTAATGCCTCTAAATCTTCAAGGCAAACACTATTGCGGCTAACTCTAAATCATGGGCTGGATAATTCCCTTCATGGGCCTTCAATTGCCTTGAAGCATATGCAATCACCCTTACAACCTAGTCCAAACCATGATGCATCACTATACACCTCATACAAATCACTTCCATCCGACAAAGCCAGCACAAGTGCTGTGGATAACCTTTCTTTCAAGATCTTAAATGCCTCCTCACACTCTGGAGTCCATGAGAATTTATGCTCCTTTTTCCTTAAACTTGTCATGGGATTCGCAATACTTGAAAAGTCTTTCACAAACCTTCTATAATAGCCTGCCAACCCCAAGAAACTTCTCACATCCGACACATTCTTTGGGGTTGGCCAATCACTCATAGCTCGAATCTTTCTTGGATCCACTGCAACTTCATCCTTAGAAATCACATGGCCCAAAAATGCTGCCTTTTCTAACAAAAATTCACACTTTGACAACTTAGCATACAACTGGTGTTCCCTTAAACTCATCAACTTTTTCCTCAAATGCTCCTTATGTTCTTATTCATTCTTTGAATATACCAAGATATCATCGATAAACACCACCACGAACTTGTCGAAGTATGGCCCGAAAATCCTATGCATCAAATCCATGAACACTGATGGTGCATTGGTCAAACCAAATGGCATGACTGTAAACTCATAATGACCATAACAAGTCTTAAAAGAACTTTTTGAAATATCTTGTTTCGTGATTCTCAACTGGTGATACCTTGATCTCAAATCTATCTTCTAAAATACTCCCGCTCTTTTTCAGCTGGTAAAAAAAATCATCGATCCTCGGCAATGGATACTTATTATTTACTGTCACCTTATTCAAATCTTGATAATCGATACAAAACCTCACACTTCCATCCTTTTTCTTTACAAACAACACTAAAGCTCCTCAAGGTGAGGAACTAGGTCGATTGTAACCCTTTTCCAACAAATCATCTAACTAAGTCTTTAACTCGCTTATCTTAACTGGAGCCATCCTATATGGAGCCTTAGAAATAGGTCCAGTACCAGGCACTAGGTCGATAGTGTACTCAACATCCCTTACTGGTGAAATACCAAGAATCTCATCTAGAAATACGTCTGGAAACTCTTCCACAACAAGAATATTCTCATCACCTTTCTCTTCCTCACTTTCAATCTTTTGAACACTACACAAAAACAACGGACAACCCTTCTTAACCAACTTCTGTAGTTGCATTGCAGATACAATTCTCAACCTTAAAATTTTCCCTTCCCTTTTATACACCACTCAAGCCTTACTTGGGCTAGTCAAGGTAACCTTTTTGGCTGCACAACCGATCTTAGCTTCATACTTCCCTAACCAATCCGTACCAGAATTACATCAAAATCCTTTAAATCAAACTCGATTAAATCTGACAGAAACTCTTCCCCATAAATGGAAATAGGCACATTAAAAAACAACTTGGAATAATTCCTCACTTCCCTAGACGAAATAGACACATCTAGATAAATCGACTCAGGACTTTCTTACCCAAGACTTCCAACTACTCTCTTAGAAACAAAAGAGTGGGACGCCCCCAATTCAAATAAGACTTTCATAGGAAAAGAAGTTAAAATAAAACACCAATTACCACATCATTAGCAGACTCAGCCTCACGACTAATCATCATGAACACACGACCCTTTGGGGCACTTCCTGCACTGCCACTGGTTCCAACCTTGGGTGTAGGTCCACTAGACTGGGGTGGTTTATTGGGAGCACTCGACTATTTCAATTTTCCTGAATTAACGTCAGCCTCCTTCTTGAAACACTCATACTCACGGTGTCCCAACTTCTGACAGTAACGACATGTTACTAGGTTTCCGTCATAGTCCTTCCCTGGGTGATCTTTCTCACACAACTTATAGATGTACTTCCTCTTGGGTCTATCACCCTTTGGTTTCCATTGCCCTTAGCATTGGACGACTATCCTCCATTCCCATTCCCGAAGGTTCCCTTGTTGTGTCTTCTCTCAGAATTCCCCTAGTAGTTACCATTGGGCTTATGCCTTTTTTCACCCCCATGAAAAGAGTGTGAGTTCTTCCTTTTCTCTCCAGCATGCTTCATTTCCCTCCCCTTGATTCTCTATAGATGGGATGCATGACCATAAACTTCATCTAGGGTATCAAAGGTCACTCCCCCTAACTTCCCTTGAAGGGTTAAGGTTAAGGTTAAGCCTTCATCGAATCTCTGAGCTTTTATGGTTTTAGTAGGGACTACTTCCGGGGCAAACCTCATCAAATCAATGAACTTGTTGTAGTATTCAGTGATTGACATGTTCTCCATCCTTAGGCTGGTAAACTCCATGCACTTCTACTTTCTCAGATAGGAAGGGTAAAAACTTTTCTCTCACGGCTTCCTTGAACTCATCCCCACCCAAAGTTTGACTTCTTTAACAAATCATCTTTTCTTTGGGCCCACCATAAGTTAGCTTCCTCCCTCAGATAATAAAAACCTTATCAAACTCCCTAATCCAGTTTTCAAGACTGGCGAGGTCCTCCATTCCCAAGTAAATAGGTGGTTTGGCTACATCAATTCTCTTGAAAACCTCACTGTAAGAGTCAAGGTCAAAGCTTCGGTTTCCTTTGTTCACCACTTTCGTGATGTTCTCAGTAATATAGGTTAGCTTGCTAAGGACCTTCTCTAATTTGGAACCAGTGCGGTTACTTCTCACTTGGTCTCTCATTCTTGTAGACATACTTTTTGGGTATAATTATCATATTTTGAATATTAAAACAAGTTTTATCATATAAGCATTAAATTCACTTAATAACATAAAGAAATTTCAATTAAGTCATTTTATTTCATTAATAATTAATGAAAATACAACTTTGTCATTTAGGACAATTATTGAAACTTTTAAACAAAATCATAGTTCAATCATTCAATCAAGCAACACTACGAGCATAACTATCTTCAATAGGATTAGAACCAGGATCATCTTGCTTATCACTTGGTTCAGCCACGAGAGTTGGGTTATAGCCACTATAGCTTGGAATATGGTCTGAAGAGCTTGAACCAGAATCACTTAAATTTTTGTCCGGGCCATGAGTGTAACTCGAGCTTTTTACTAGGCTTACATCACCATGAGGTTGGATTGAATAAGCATTAGGGTTTTGGGATCTTTCTTTGGTAGTTTGGGCACGAGTTCTGGGCCTTTTTGCAACATGAAAATGGACTTTTAAGCTAGGACGTTTAGGTTCATGGCTTGGAGTACGACTAGGAGAATAATAATTCTTACTCCTAGCAAGAGGTCGCATGGACTCATCACTAGATTCCACAAATTCATGATGCTCCATTCGATAAGAAAAAGGTAATTGGGCATTTAGGTAGTACAACTGGTCATCTTCTCCAAAGGTTCAATTCTTTAAAGGCTTGGGAATGTTCATAACTTTCCTCTTGGGTTCATACTCACACTCCACATAGTGTAAGTCCCTCTTAAGGCTAGACATGCTTGCTAACCACTTCCCTTCGTGATGATGCTTTTCATTCCACATCCCATTTTTCTTGATCACATCCCCATACATTTGTCAGAGAGATGTTGATATTTTGCAACCCTAGGTAAATGAGCCAAGTCCAAAAGGATCATCCAAGGGGGTTGGGTTAAGATTTCCAAGTCATACTTCTCATAAAGGGTTAAGGCCAAGGTAACAATTCCAGCTATGCAATAGATGAAAAAAAAATATTGGTACCGAGCTAAGGCCACCGATTTTTAAAAATCGGTGGGGAAAATATGGGGAAAAATAGGTGAGATTTTAAGGGAAGGGTATTGGCACCAGTCTAAACTAAACTGATGGGAAAAATAACAATCCCACCGGTTTGAACCGGTTCCAATCATGCCATATTTAAAAAAAACACACCCCTTTATAAACCCTAACCCTAAATGATTTCCTCTCTACGGCCTCCCTCCTCCTTCTCTTTCCTCTTTTTCCTCTCTCCCCTCTCCTCCTTCTCTCTCCGACCTCTCTTCTTTGTCGTCCTCTCTCTCCGACGACGTATCTTCTCTATCCTCTCTCCCCTCTCTCTCCCCTCTTCTTTCTCCTCTCTTCTCTGTCCTCTCTCTCCGACCTCTCTTCTCCGCCCTCTCTTCTGTCTTCTTCTCACCACCATCGCCACCACTAACCACCGCCGCCACCAAGGCCGACATCAACAACAATACCCTTCGCTTATTTTCAGGTCAAATTCGAGGTTATTGCGTGTTTCTAGGTTTAATTATTCGAGGTTAGGGTTTTTGGGTTTAATTATTTATGTTAAATGCCTTGATTTTTTTGGGTTTGATTATTGTAATATTGTTAAAAATTGATGGGTTTAATAGATTTTGGAATCCCATAGGGTTAATTAATTTTGGATTTTTTTTGCGTTTAATTCATTTTCAAAATTGATTTTTCTGGGTTTTTCAGTTTATTTGATTTCAAAAAAAATTATGGGTTTACTTGATTTTTGAAATTTTTGGGGTTAATTGATTTTCAAAATTTTTGGGTTTTTTTTTCAGAGATTACTAGGTTTTTTTTTTTTTTTTATTTTTATTTTTTGTTATATTTAAGTTCGTGAATTTTTTGGGTTTTATTAGGAGATTTTTTTGGGTTTTCATCCTTTTCTCTTTCTCTTTCATTCATTTCTGAGTTCACGAGTTTATGGGTACGTGCATGAATTTTCTGGGTTTTTTTTTCGCATTTTTTTGTGAGTTTTATTAACTTTTGGGTTTTAATTGATGCAGGTGTTAATTGATGCAACAAGGATTCAAGACTCTTATTATGGAAGAGTATTTTTGATGTTGTAATTTTTTTTTGTATTGTACAATAACAACGTTGAATTTCATTGCCTGATTATAATTCAATGTATTTTTTTTTTGGTATTGTACAAAAACAATTTACTGTTGAATATAATGTGATTATATTTCATTGTCTTTTGCTTATGTTATATTTTTTGTGATGTTATATTATTATAATAATTATAATTGCAGCAAAAAAAAAAACATGTTTTGTGGTAATTAGATTTAGTACCAAAAAAAAAAGAGGGAATAGAATTGCCACTGGTTAACTGGTGGCATATTAATTTATTCCCATCGGTTAACCGGTGGAAATAGGGGTTTTTGCCACCGGTTTTGAGCCAGTGGCTTTTCGATGAGGAATTACCACCCCTCAAATACTTAGCTGTTCAAAACCGGTGGCATTGTGGGGTTTTGGACCGGTGGCAATCTTCATTTTTCTACTAGTGATGAACTCACTAACTGTGACTCCATTATCTTTCAAGTAGTGCAAGTTAAAGTAATTCTTTTCATATCATCAATATTCTCCATGTGTTTCACATACACATGCAAACACAATAAATTTAATGCTAAATCACATAAACAATTCAATTCAAAATCCATTTCCAATAAGCAATTCATAACTCAACCAATCCAAGTATAAATCAAGATCACCCAACCATAGGCAATAGCCAAAAATTTCGAACCCCTATACACACTTTAAGG